AATAATCAGTTCGATAGCATCCAGCGGCACTGTTGCATATGATTTATGCAGTTTTTTTCGTTGCATATATCATGTTAACCTAATATAATTTTGCAGCTGATTAGTAACTGTTTGCTTAGTGTTTACGTCGTAAAATAGTAAGAAAAAAAATTAAATTAAATTAAAAAAGCAAAGCTGTTATTGAATCGTAATTCACAGCTGGCAAAAGCACGAGGCATTTCTTTCCTTTTTTTAAAGCTAGAATACCTTTAAGGTCTTTATCGAAATTCTGGCGTTTTGAAATGTGCCTGTAGGCAATTGCAAGAAAAAGCATTTATCACTTAATTTAGCTCAGTTGTCCTGTTAGATTTAGCGTTCAAGAACTTCAGTATGTCTTACTATGAGTTTACTTTTGTGGCATTTTGAGTAAACAAATAAAATAGCGCTGCCGTTTAAAGTTAGATTTGTACGCAAAAGTTCAGAAATTAGCAATCAGGGAAACATTGTGAAGTGCGTAAAATAAATCGGTCAGTAAAATGTGAAGGCTCTAATGTAGAGCAGGGCGATATGACCAAAAGTATTTATCACGATATACATTTGAAAATTTGCGATAACAATATAACTGATGATATAATTGACACGAGACAAAATACTTTCCAACTTTATTAGTGCAAAACAAAAAAAATCTCTGTGTTTTTTCCTTTACACGCGGCTGTTTTTTTTTTTTTTTTTTATTATTAATGTGCATTAAAAGTTATATAAAAATGTAACAGTGCAAATTCATTGCTGGCAGTTTAACCAAAAGGTATTTCCAGTGGAAATTGGCCGACAGATCCTCAGCATAACCATGTGTAATATCTACAAAACTTAAAAAGAGCTTATACACACACAATACGGTAATATTATGTTGAAGCACAGTACATATTACTCCGCGAGGCTCCTGTGTACGACCCATATTCTATCCCCATATTTCATTTTCTTAACGCATTGATCTTACTACTGTGATTGAATTGTAAATAAGCCTGTGCCTCGATCACCATAGATTCCCTTTGCTTGCTTTCTTGATTGAGATTGGGAAGTAGATCTTATATCTTTCAATGCAGAATAATGAGATGGAAGTCAAAGCAAACAAAACTTTCACTTAATTTAATCTTGCCGTAAAATAATTTTGACCACATTTCCATTAACTGGCTTCACTTACTGTGACATTGGTAGTGAGAGTTTATAGAGTCTTTCTGTCAACTGGAAAGTAAACCCAGATTTTTCCAGTCAGACTACATTATGCTCACATGAAAGGAGCTGCCTTGGCCATGCTAGTGCATTACAACTGTAAAACAATTTGTACCTTGTTCTTTCAGCTGCAGTCTCTGGAGTGTTTAGTGCTCTGACAAAGTAAAAAATAAGAATGAGTAGGGCGAAAGCGGATCGTTGAATGAAACGGATGAACCAGAATTGGTTTGTAAAAATGCTGCAACTTCAGTGGTGTGGAACTGGTTTAGCTTTCGTCCATCAAATAC